GTACTTGTAAATTCGCCAGGGCCCAGCGGGACTGCCAAGAGGGCGCACTGCACCTCGCGTTTGTACCTGGGGGCGGCGGGTGCACGGCGGCCCTCTGGAGGTCCCGCCGCGAGAACTTGTTGCGAATGCGATGGGTGGGGTGCGGGGCGTCGTGTGCGGGTAGTTTCACGTAGGCTCGACGCTGGATGTCTTTCCGGGGCCGCGGTTTCCTGGCTGGCCCGCTGGCGCGGGTCGGCGTCTCTATCGTCTCGCAGATGAACCCCTCGTCGCATTGTGCGCCATCGTGCTCTGGTTGCGCCGAGTGGTCGGCAAGGGCATGACGTGTAAACCACTGAAAGTTGCCCTCAACGGTGAGTGCAAAAGTACGGGAATACCAATCTCCCCATCGAACTTTATTGTGGAAATTCCGTGGACGAGATAATGCTTCCTGGAGGTCCCGTACATCGCGTGAAACATGTGTTGACGTGCGCGGCGGGTCCTCCAGGCGAACTCGAATCTGCAACGCCTGGGCGAGCAGGCGGACGCTGTGGCACGACGCCGATTGGCCGAAGTGTTCCTTTAGGCGCCACAGGTCGTCTGGCACCGCCCACCCCCCAGGCTTTTTTTGCGTCTTTCCCAGAGCGGATGCTTCCAGCTCCAAAGTCTCTTGAGGCATCACTTCCAACTGGCCGATGTACCCAAACGTGGATACAGCGAAGGTGTTGTAGGCAATCGTGTGGAAGTGCATGCCGACGCCATGCTCCGACCAATCTCGACATCGTTGGATGTACTTGTTGCTGGGGTCGCGCCATGACTGCGCGCCCTTGCCCGGGCCGACCATGAAATCCAAGTGCTTGCCGCAGTCCGCCACCGGCATGCTGGCCCACCCAGGCCACCGCTGATCCCGGAGGGTTCTGGACTGCTCCAAGGTGCCGAGTCCGAGTGGGATGGTGACACATTTCTGCAAGTTGAGACTCAGACCTGAGACGCTTGCAAACTCGCCGAAGATGCGCTGCAAGCTCGGGGCCTCTTGCCAATAGTCCGTGAGCACGAGCGCAGCGTCGTCTGCGTAGGCCCGCACCAGCGTGCCCGGGCACGCCTGCTCGATGCGGTCCATCAGTAGCTCGGCGACCGTGGCGTAGAGAGGCGGGGAAAGCGGGCACCCCTGTCTGACGCCCGCCTCTAGCCGAAAGCCCGCGGCTTGACTCGTGCCGTGACGGACGGCGCAGTACGAGTCAGCGTGCAGCGCGTGGATGACGTTCATGGTCTGCTCAGGAATTCCAATCGAAGATAACGCAGCGAGCATGAATTCCTGGGATACCGACGGGAAGGCCGATGCGAAGTCCATCAGGAGGCAGGCGCCGTTCTCCTGCTCGAGCGACGTGATCATGCTGGATGTGTCGACGTCAAAAAGGTTTGCCAGGATAGATCGCCGTGGGAGGAAGCCCTGTTGTCTCGGTAGTATCCACTTCGCCAAGTGTTCCTCCCATCGGTTGCGGGCGGTACTGGCGACGATGCGGTTGTCCATGTTGACGATGCTCAGCGGACGGGCGTTGGCTGGAACATATGCCTTGATGCCCTCTGGAGTGGTGCTCGAGCTCTTCTTTGCCAGACATACCAATATGCTCTCATTATATTTGTGGGGCTCGTCCCGGGTCTCGTCAAAGTACGCCCCGGGAAATTCCTCCCTGCCCCGCGACTGCTCGAAGCACTGCGCCACGTTGAAACGGCACCCCGTCAGGGCCAGGCACCGAGTTGCCGCTGTGGCGAATGGCAATCTCAACGTCCTTCCTGCGGATGCGCCAATGCCTTTCGTGCGTCGGGAGCGGGGCGCGTTGCGGTCGAGCCCGGCGGGGGGGGCCGCTCGCCCGCTGGTGCTGGGCATCTGGTCGTAGCGCCGTTTGCCCGGCTGTAGCCTCCGGCGAGTGCGGGCGCGGGGAGAAGGAAGGGAGGCCTCTGAGCCACTCTTGCAACAAATGTTGGTTGATGGGCTGTTTCTGGAAGGTCTTCGACCAGTACTGGGGAGCTGAGCTCTTTCGCAATTGCTGCCGGGTCAATGGCGTACTCGCCGGTCGCTGTTTCGACGGCGCCCACGGTAGTGCAAGCTCCCGGCATGATGCGTTTCAATCGGCTGAGGATGTTTGACTTACGGATGTTTGTCCTGTGGTCGTGGTCGCCCTCGTCCCGCCGTTGTCGGACGTCGCGGAGCTCGTCCGTGATGCTTTGTCTCGCCAGGGTAACAGCGTGATCCAAGAGAGCTTGAAAGCCAGTCGTGAAGCATGTGTTCGGATTCTTGGGGTCAACGAATGAAGCAATGTGCGGGTATCCCGAAAATTTCCGATACATTCTGTCCAAGTTTACCGCCTGCGCGGCCCGAATAAAACTAAGAGTGCACCGAAGCTTGTCGTCATTCGTGGACGCTGTGGCGTGGAGCCCTTCCGTTGCCATGTTCGCAGAGACTGTGTGCATCGCCCGCTTCACCAAGACGAGTCTGCGAATGGGGTTGTCGTAGTCGTGCGATTCCGTGGAGATGCGACCAAGTTCTGCAGCAACCCGTCGTGCCCAGTCAGGGTGGTTGATAGTGCCGATACCTATGCGACTCTGCTTCCGTGCACCCGTGCCGTTGTAGTCGCCCGGGCTGCATTCGCTGCTGGAGTAGTGCGTCGAGTCGGTGGAATCGTCAGCCGGGTCACAAGTGGGACGCGCACGGAAAAACGATAGGGGCGCGTGCGAGGAGAGATCCGGGACCCTGGACAGGGCGCTACACCCGAATCTGTGGTCGAGCTGCTCCGAAGGGTAATGGTTGGTGTAAACCCTGTCGATGCGGGAGGTGGCGATGCTGGAAAAGTACGTGTGGCCGTCCTGGTACAGCTCGTGCAAGCCCTTCGGGATGAACGCTTCCTCCAGCGCCTGTGTAGCCTCTGTCTCGTCTTTGTGCCCGGTCCAGCAACGGCTATTGCAGCACCATCGGTCCTGGCCAGATGGCACGTAGTTCCAATCCACGTAGTGCCTACCCCACCTACCCGTAGCCCTGGCATCATCATCATCATCATCATCATCATCATCATCATCATCATCATCATCATCATCAACATCGTCATCGTCATCGTCATCGTCATCGTCATCGTCATCGTCATCGTCATCGTCATCGTCATCGTCATCATCATCATCATCATCATCATCATCATCATCATCATCACTAGCAGCAGCATCATAATAATAATCATAAACAACATCATGATCATCATCATCATAACCAGCATCATCAGCATATCAGCATCATCATCATGACAATCATCGTCAGCATCATCATCAGCATCATCAGCATCATCATCATCATCATCTCATCAGCATCACCACCACCATCAGCATCATCACCACCACCACCATCATCATCATCATCATCATCATCACCACCACCACCATCATCATCATCACCACCATCATCATCATCATCATCATCATCATCATCATCATCATCATCATCATCATCATCATCATCATCATATCACAAGCAGCAGCATCATAATAATAATCATAAACAACATCATGATCATCATCATCATAACCAGCATCATCAGCATTATCAGCATCATCATCAACATGGCCGTCGTCATCAGCATCATGACAATCATCGTCAGCAGCATCATCAGCATCATCAGCATCATCATCATCATCATCATCAGCATCATCATCATCATCATCGTCATCAGCATCACCACCACCATCAGCATCATCACCACCACCACCATCATCATCATCATCATCATCATCATCATCATCATCACTAGCAGCAGCATCATAATAATAATCATAAACAACATCATGATCATCATCATCATAACCAGCATCATCAGCATTATCAGCATCATCATCAACATGGCCGTCGTCATCAGCATCATGACAATCATCGTCAGCAGCATCATCAGCATCATCAGCATCATCATCATCTCATCCTCGTCATCAGCATCCACGCGACCAACCATCCACATCATCCCATCCCACCACCAGTCATCATCATCATCTCATCATCATCCACATCAGCAGCATCAATCATCATCAATCCATCATCACTAGCAGCAGCATCATAATAATAATCATAACAACATCAGTCATCATCATCATAACCAGCATCATCAGCATTATCAGCTTCATCATCAACATGGCCGTCGTCATCAGCATCATGACAATCATCGTCGCATCACATCAGCATCATCAGCATCATCATCATCGTCATCATCCGCATCACCACCACCATCAGCATCATCACCACCACCAACCATTCATCATCATCATCATCCATCTCATCATCATTTACAATCACATCATTCATCATCATCCATCACTAGCAGCATCATCAAATATAATCATAAACAACATCATGATCATCATCATCATAACCAGCATCATCAGCATTATCAGCATCATCATCAACATGGCCGTCGTCATCAGCATCATGACAATCATCGTCAGCATCATCATCAGCATCATCAGCATCATCATCATCATCATCGTCATCAGCATCATCACCACCATCAGCATCATCACCACCACCACACCATCATCATCATCATCATCATCATCATCATCAGCATCATCATCATCATCACTAGCAGCAGCATCATAATAATAATCATAAACAACATCATGATCATCATCATCATAACCAGCATCATCAGCATTATCAGCATCATCATCAACATGGCCGTCGTCATCAGCATCATGACAATCATCGTCAGCATCATCATCAGCATCATCAGCATCATCATCATCATCATCGTCATCAGCATCACCACCACCATCAGCATCATCACCACCACCACCATCATCATCATCATCATCATCATCATCATCAGCATCATCATCATCATCATCATCATCATCATCATCATCATCAGCATCATCATCATCACTCCTCCTCCTCCTCCTTCTCCTCCTGCTCCTCCCCCTCCTCCTCGCCCCTGGCAGCCCCCGTCCGACGCCACGTCGGCCCCTGGGCCCCGCCGGGACCCCGCCGCCGCCTGGCCGCCTCCGCCGCGAAGTCGCTCAGGAAGGAGGCTGTGGCGAGGCGGCGCGCGAGCCCAGCCATGGCGGCCTCGCGGAGCGGCTCTCGTGGCGGGGGTGGAGGGAGGGAAAGAGAGATACAGAGAGAGGGAGAGAGAGGGAGAGGGAGAGGGAGGGGTCTGTGTATGCGGATACACACATATGCATACAAGTGTATGCATATATACAAAGAGATATAAGTACATATCTGTGCAAACACATACACATATGTGTGTGAGATTATGATTTACAAGGCGAGGAAGAGAGAGAGAGAGAGAGAGAGAGAGCGAACTAAGCAAAGTCAGAAGGAGACACAGAGAGAGAGATATAGAAAAAAAACAAAAAGAGAAAGGGGGAGGTGCTACTGCAGACACGCCTATGCGCTACCTATGTGCACATACGCGTGATGCTTATATATAGATGTAGACAGGTATATACAAGGACGTAGAAACGAGGGGGTCCGAGGGAGGGAGGAAGAAAACGGGAAGAGGGAGGGGAGAGCGGGAAGAGGGATAGAGGGAGCGGGAAGAGGGTGGAAGGACGGGAAGGGGACAGGGGGGGGGAGGAGAAGGGAGAGGAGAGGAGAGGAGACGAGAAGACAGGGAGAGGAGAGGAGAGGAGAGGAGAGGAGCGGAGAGGAGAGGAGAAGGGAGAGGAGAGGAGGAAGAGGTGGAGAGGAGAGCACCTCTCGGGCGAGGGGCGTGGACGCCGCGCCCCAGGAGGCCCGCGGAGGCCCTCCCCCCTCCCTCCCTCCCCCCCCCCCCCCAGGACGAGGCAGGCTCCGAGCGAGGCGATCCCGCTCGCGCCATGCCTCCCACCAGATCCTCCTTCGAGTTCCTCCCCCTCCTCCTCCTCCTCCTCCTCCTCCTCATCCTCCTCCTCCTCCTCCTCCTGTTCCCTGCTCCTCCTCCTCCTCCTCCTCCTCCTTCTCCTCCTGTGCTCCTGCTCCCCCTGTGCTCCTGCTCCTGCTCCTGCTCCTGCTCCTGCTCTTGCTCCTCTCCTGCTCCTGCTCCTGCTCCTGCTCCTGCTCCTGCTCCTGCTCCTCCTCCTCCTGCTCCTCCTCTTCCTCCCCCTCCTCCTCGAGAACGGGGGATTGTGGAGTCGCAGGGGTTCAAAAGCGCGCGCGCGCGAGGGTTTCGCGCTGAGTTCGCGACTGTTTCTGTGCAAACTCTGCTCTGTGTCCTCCTCCTCCTCCTCCTCCTCCTCCCTCTCCCCCTCCTGCTCCCTCCTCTCTCTCTCTGCCTTTTTTTTCTCCAGCCCCCCCCCCCCCAGAACAACAAAAAAACAAAACAAATATAAAAAAACAGTTGTTTTGTTTCTGGGGGGGGGGGCGCCAGGAGAAAAAAAAGGAATGCGACGTGACCACATCTGCCCTCCCCCTAGAAGGATTCCTATTGGACGCCCCCATAAGAAGGATTCACGGTAAAATCCTCGACAGAAGGGTTCCTATCGAAACCCTCCACTGAATGATTCCTACCGAAATCCTCCACATGTGGATTCCTACTGAAACCCTCCACTGAATGATTCCTACTGAAATCCTCGAATGGCAATGGCAATGGCAATGGCAATGGCAATGGTAATGGTAATGGTAATGGTAATGGCAATGGTAATGGTACTGGTAATGGTTACGGTAATGATAGTGGTAACGGGGTAGCGAGGCAATGACAATGGCAATGGCAACGGTAATGGTAATGGTAATGGCAATGGCAATGGCAATGGGAATGGCAATGACAATGGCAATGGTAATGGCCATGGCAATGGTAATGGTAATGGTAGAGGTAAAGGTAGAGTTAAAGGTAATGGTAATGGTAATGGTAATGGTACTGGCAATGGCAGTGGTAATGGTAATGGTAATGGTAATGGGAATGGAAGTGGGAATGGAAACGGGAACGGGAATGGAAATGATAGTGGTAGTGGTAATGGTAATGGCACTGGTAATGGTAATGGTAATGGTTCTGGAAATTGTAATAGGATTGGGAATGGGAATGAGAATGGGAATTCTAATGGTAATGGCAGCGGTAGTATCATGGTAATGGGAATGGGAGTGGAACTGGTACTGGCAATGGTAATGGTAGTGGCGAATGGCAATGGCAATGGTGATGGTAATGCTAATGGTAATGACAGAGGTAATGGTACTGGCACTGGTAATGGTAACGGTAATGGTAAGGGGGTAGCGATTGACAATGGCAATGACAATGGCAACGGTAATGGTAATGACAATGGCAATGAGATTGGCAGTGGCAATGACAATGATAATGGCCATGGCAATGGCAATGGTAAATGTAATGATAATGGCAATGGTAATGGGAACGGGAACGGGAATGGGAATGTGAATGGGAATAAGAACGGGAACGGGAATGGAAATGGTAGTGGTAGCGGTAACGGAAATGGGAATGATAAGGGTAAGGGTAAAGGTAACGGTAGAGGTAAAGGTAATGGTAATGGACATGATAGTGATAATGGTAATGGTAATGGTAATGGTAATGGTAATGGTCATGAGAATGGGAATGGCAATGGAAATGGTACTGGCAATGGTAATGGTAGTGGCTAATGGCAATGGCAATGGCAATGCGAATGGTAATGGTAATGACAGAGGTAATGGTAATGGTACTGGTAATGGTAACGGTAATGATAGTGGTAACGGGGTGGCGACTGGCAATGGCAATGACAATGACAACGGCAACGGTAATGACAATGGCAATGGCAATGGCAATGGGAATGGCCATGGCAATGGTAATGGCCATGGCAATGGCAATGGCAATGGCAATGGTAATGGCAATTGTAATGTGAATGGGAATGGGAACGGGAATGGGAAGGTGAATGGGAATGGGAACGGGCATGGAAATGGCAGTGGTAGTGGTAACGGAAATGGGAATGGTAAGGGTAAGGGTAACTGTAAAGGTAGAGGTAAAGGTAACGGTAATGGTAATGGCAATGGCAGTTGTAATGGTAATGGTAATGGTAATGGTATTGGGGATGGGAATGTTAATCGGAATGGTAATGGTACTGGCAACGGTAATGGTAGTGGCGAAGGGCAATGGCAATGGCAATGGTAATGGTAATGGTAGTGGCGAATGGCAATGGTAATGGTAGTGGCGAATGGCAATGGCAATGGCAATGGTAATGGTAATGGCAATGACAGTGGTAATGATAATGGTACTGGGAATGGTAATGGTGACGATAACGGTAATGGTAATGGTTATGGCAATGGTAACGGGGTAGCGATTGGCAATGGTAATGGGAATGACAACGGCAACGGCAATGGCAATAGCAATGGCCATGGCAATGGTAATGGCCATGGTCATGGTCATGGTCATGGTAATGGTAATGGTAGTGGTAATGGGAATGGGAATCGTAGTAGTAATTGGAACGGGAACGGGAATGGAAATGGTAGTGGTAGTGGGAAAGATAATGGCAATGGTAATGGAAATGGTACTGGTAACGGTAATGGTAATGGCAATGATGATGGGAATGGGAATCGTAATGGTGATGGCAGCGGTAATGGTTATGGTAATGGCAATTGTGTTGGTAATGCTAATGATAATGGCAATGGTAATGGTGGTGGCGAATGGTAATGGTAATGGGAATGGTAATGGTAATGGTAACGGGGTGGCTACTGGCAACGGCAATACCATGGCAATGGCAACGGCACTGGCAATGGCAATGGCAATTGTAATGGCAATGGTAATGGCACTGGCAATTGTAATGGCAATGGTAATGGTAATGGTAATGGTAATGGTACAGGTAAAGGTAAAGATAAAGGTAAAGGTAATGGTAATGGTAACGGTAATGTGAATGGGAATCGGAATTGGGATGGGAATGGTAATGGTAATGGTATTGGGAATGGGAATGGAATGGGAATGGGAGTGGGAGAGATTGAGAGAGAGAGAGAAAACGAGAAAGGAAACATCAGCATAATGATGAGGAACAAACTGAAATATCGTAAATTTTCGTCCAAAACCCACAGCGACTCCACAATCCCCCGGCCTCTCCTCCTCCTTCTCCTGGTCTTCTTCGCCTTGTTAGTCTTATGCTTCTTAATATTAGTCTGTTTAGTATTATTCTTCGTATTATTATCATTATTATTATTTGTCTTCTCCTTTTTATGGGTATTATTATGATTACTAGCATTACTAGTATTATTAGTATGATTATTATTATTACTAGTATTATCATTATTGTTCTTGATATTATTATTATTCTTATCATTATTACTATTACTAATATTATTTTCGTTATTAGTATCATTAATAGTGTTATCATTATTGATATTATTATCAGTATTAGTATTATTATTATTAGTCTGTTTATTCTTCGCCATCTTCCTCTTCTTCCTCCTCCTCCTCCTCTTCCTCCTCCTCCTCCTCCTCCTCCTCCTCCGCCTCCTCCTCCTCCCCCTCCTCCTCCTCCTCCTCCTCCTCCCTCTCTTCCTCCTCCTCCTCCTTCCTCCTCCTCCTCTCCTCCTCCTCCGCCTCCTCCTCCTCTCCTCCCTCCTCCTCTCCTCCTCCCTCCTCCCTCCTCCTCCTCCCCCCTCCTCCCCTCACCTCCTACGCCTCCTCCTCCTCCTCCTCCTCCTCCTCCTCCTCCTCCTCTCATCCTCATCCACATCTTCATCATCATCATCATCATCATCATCATCATCATCATCATCATCATCATCATCATCATCATCATCATCACCATCATCATCATCATCATCATCATCAGACATCATCATCATCATCATCATCATCATCATCATCACATCATCATCATCATCATCATCATCATCATCATCATCATCATCATCATCATCATCATCATCATCATCATCATCATCATCATCATCGGCATCATCACCATCATCATCATCATCAGCAGCATCATCATCATCAACATCATCATCATCCTCATCATCATCATCAACGTCATCATCACCATCATATTCAGCATCAAAACCGTCACCATCACCATCATCATCATCAACAACATCATCATCATCATCGTCATCATCATCATCATCATCATCATCATCATCACAATCATCATCATCATCGTCATCACCATCATCATCAGCA